GTTTCTGTGAAGTTTTGTTGAGATTTTGGCTTGCACTTTTGCACTTTAATTGTTTACCTAATGTTTAAATGTATGTATATGACCCCTTTCTTTACCACTATTTGGTTATATACTCAGTAAGGGGGGGCTGAGCATGTGTATGTGATCCTGGCATGTTAGTATTAGCTCGATGGATGTTACTATGTACGTTAGTTTATAATAGTAAATGCTTCCGTTCAGGCCCCATACATTATAAACATCAGGTTTTATGTCCATTTCTGAGGTGGTCATGCCCAAACTTTTAGGGGCGGATTTGGGGTGTCGTTTGGTATAGTTTGAAGCATGGTTTACTAACTTGTCAAGATTTGCTCCAGAGTTGGTTGCAACAAGGGAGCAACGTTGTCTTGAGTTCGAAGGGAGGTTGTGTGATGCTATTTGGAGAAGAGTTGTTGGGCAATACATAGAGATTACCATGCCTTGGTAGAGGCAGCGGCTCACGTGGAGACCGTTATCGATAGTGTTGGTCAGGATGAGGAGGAAGAGTCCATATCGAAAAGTTCAACTATTTGGGGAGGTAGTAGACCTAGTAAGGCAGGCGTAGTTGACGCCTCGGGCTACTCTCATTTCATTACACTCGTCTTTTAGAGAGTCTAGCCAGACTTAATTGTTCTCAAGTTAACCTCGGAATAGAGGATCACCTTGGTGTGTTCGATATGGTTGGACAGGCCATGTTTGGCGTCGATGTCCTCTGAGGGAGCATCGCCAGTTTTAGTAGTCCAAACGGGGACAATAGTGAGGCTGGAAGTGTGAAGGAGTTTTGATTCTTCGCAGTGTTATTTGATATTATATTATGGAAGGTTGTATGCCTACAGATATTATTTATATATGTGCGTGTGGTTGTAAACCCAAAGGGTGTGGTTATGTAATTAACTTTGTGCTCATTGGTAATGTGTTAATAGAAGTGGTACGAATTAAAAATCCTAGCGTTTTTTTTTTTTAATGGCATATTGATGTCGTGGGAAATGGGTTGGCTTGTGATGTCTCAGGTCAGTCACGAATGCCTTGTGGAAAGGCAAGGATGTGTTTTATTTTGGACTTTGAGTCTTGAGGATAGAGGACTGGTGGTTAGGTCATATGGTAATCGAAGTTGGTTGGCATGTAATCACCTTGGAAATTGTTCTCGGGTTGCGTTAATGGACTTAGGGGCGTGGGGGCCTCGCTTATGGGTGCATTTGATTGGTGTGGTTATATAAAACCCCTTGAATTGGGGCAACGCGTTAATGTGAAAATTTTGCAAACGCCTTACGCTATTGAATTATGACGATTAATATTGTTGGTGTTATATTGGTTTGAGACTTCCATGATTTGGAAAGTTATGCGTGTTGTACTATATCTCTTGGTACTGTATGCATCTCTATTTATTGTTGGGATAGAAATTTCATGGGAATTAGGTAAATTAAAACTAATTTCTCACCCGTTGTCATTGAATATGATTATATCTTTAAATAAATTGTATATGTAAGATGTCTGGAGTCACCGTAGGTGTGATGGTTGTGATTGGGTGAAGGTTGAGATTCACCGGATATTCTTGGGAAATAAGGTTGAGGGTGAGTTCGGCTCTGTGGCCATTTATGGCATTCTTTTCAACTGAAAACTCTGATTTGAAATTTCGTGGATTGTTTGGAGAAAATGTTTGCAAAACAATTAGTCTCCTTGAGGTTCTGGAGCAACATTTCTGTTGGAAAATGATACAAGTTTTGAATAATTTTTTAGAAAAAAGTGGTAAGTGGTGAAAGAGCCTTCGAAATAACAAGAAAAATCGTTATTTTAATCAAATTATGTAATTGTTCTGTTCAACATTGTAGGGGTGAGATTCCGTTATGGTTGGATTTCAGTTACTAGTTATGTACGTTTTATTTTCTGATCTGTTGTTTCTTGTGAAGGGGTGTTAGTCCCTTATTGCAATATTGGTTGTTAGCATTAGTGGGGTGTTGTGTTGTGAGCAGCTGGTAATATGTTTCAGGAAGAGGAATAGTGGAGGTTTCCTAAGTTTTAGGACTCTTTTATTATGTTGGAATGCGATAGGTATGTGCCTTAATTTTGGTTAAGTCAGGTGATGTTGTCGGAAAGGTTGGTTGGGTATATAACCTGTGGTTAGGGTGTGACCTATGTGTAGGGTCACAGTGGTTTGGTGCTTATGGGCAAAGGTTTGGGATAACGGCGAGGAGATTGAGGACTTCATTTGTGTAACGCCCTCAAAATTAACCCATTAAATATCATTGACATGCATTAATTAAAGAAGACAATTTACTAATTCATTCATCAGAGTATTACTAAATAAAGCATTTGACACGGAGGCTTAGTATTTTGATTGTACTCTTGTGACGAGTGACAAATAGAATGTGGAATAAAGAGTTGACCTTATTGGTCATTGAGAAATGGAGGTGTTATGTTTGCTTGTGTTCTAATTGCACAAATTAAGGGGCGCAAGTGGAAACAAAATAAAAGTAAGAAAATAATTAAATAGATAATTCACTTCATTAATTACCCCCTCCTAGGGAAATAAAAAAGAAATACATCCATTGGGCTTTTATTATTTTATTATGCGGTGACAAAAAGTTAGGGGAAAAAAAGAAAAAAAATGAAAGAAAAAAAAAATGTAACAGGTTGGCATCCAATTTCTATGCGGGTCGCACAATACGAGGTTACAGTTCTTTCTTACATCTCATCACTTAAAAGGGGTAACAGCTATAAGCACACGGCAGAGTAGGAAATATTATGCCAAGAGTATAGGGAATACAAAATAACTATGGATAGTTATTTAAGATAAAACTTTAACATAACTTAATTTGAATAAACAAATTATTTAATTGACAGAAGCTAAAATACAAAAATTATGTAAATAAATAACCATAACCACGATACAGAACAAAACAAAACAAAGGTCACATGAGTTCAGAAAATAATCAACGTAATTGAAATATTAATATAATTTATAAAACACAAATTGCGTAAAATAAATTATGGTAACTCAAAATACATGTAAAATATATTATGGTGACTCAAAGTATAATACAACTCACCTTAATGTTAATCCCTCACCATTTCTTCTCCGTTCACGAAAATTTCCCGTTTTTACGGACGGACTGCATCTCCTTTTGCTCCTTATATTTATCGAAAACATCTTTTCAGGCACCATTTCCTTTCCGTCTAAGCAACCATGTGGTATCAGCACGTGGCCCCCCCTTTTGTTGCATGCTTATCCATAAGGATAAGCTTCTGATTCATTTTTTTTTCTTTTGTTTTTGTTTTGTTTTGTTACATTATTTTCAAATGTATGAGTGCATTGGTATTTCAATTATTAAAGGGGGTGGCAGTGATATTGCCAGAAAACAGAGGGGTATGAGTGTAATTTACCCTTAATTGATTGATAATATCGGTAAAGAAATATCGGAACCTCTTATCTTTAGAAATGGAGAATTTGAGGAACGAAGCTCTTGAAGCTCCTTGAGATTTTAAAAACTTCTCTGCACTCAATTGTATCGATATTTCAAGCCCTGACATTCTTAACTCTGTTTCTTTACTTAAACAGGTACACACACACACACACTCTCTCTCTGTCTCTCTCTCTCTCTCTCATATATATGGTTTTTTTGATTGATTGATTGATTGATTATATATGGATCGAAAAATTATTAGTTGGTGTGTAGCGTCACGTGATCATATTCCAAGTTAATCACAAGCCTCTATGCCCTATATTGTTTAGCGGCCCCTCGACCAACCAATAGCATGACCGATTGTTGATGTTTGGTGCTTTAAGCACGATCAGATTATAAGCGGTGTTCAACTTGGGATCTTATTGGCAAATTTACACTTTTACATCCTATACTTTACCTACAAACTAAGATTTTAGTATAAGTATATTATAGATGATAAGGCTAGCATAGAAGGACTAAAGTGAGATTGTGGTAAAAATATAAGGTTGCATCTTATAGTTTACCGTCAATCTCATTTGATCCGTTGAACTTTTAATTATCTCACTCAACTACTCTATTTTGAGACAAGTTGCAATTAGGCTCAATCTTATAATAGCATTTGAAAAATTAACTCAAAAATTAACTTAGATGGGTTTGGCTTATAGATTTGGATAGAGATTTAGAAATCCAAATGGTAGGTGAAAATATAACTATATTTCATTTATATTTCACTCTTCTTTTTTTTTTTCTTTTTTTTGAAATGTCTATCCAAATTGATGATCTAAAAGTGTGAGATTTTAGTAACGTACCTGGATCGTAAGAGCTAGAGTGGAAGGACAAAAGTGAGATTGCGGTAAAAATATAAGGGTGATAAGTGTAATGAATATTTCTGTGATTATTCTCTGTTCGTTTTGAAACGACGCTTGTATATGTGGGGCCAAATTATAACTTGATTCAAAGTCTAGGGATTGACCGGAACAATTAAAAGGTCAAGGGGAAAGTGAGATTGAATGTTAAGTGTAGGGGTATAAACTGTAATTGATTCTTATGCCACTACTTGTTTGGATTATGGGAAAGCAAAGTAAAATTTTTGAATTTTTATGGGTTTTGAACTATGGAAAAAATAGAAAACTTATTTTAACCAACCCAAATAGTACTGTGAACAACCTATTGAATCAAATATTGAAATCCCATTTATGAATTGAATTTAGGATAAAATGTCATTTTTTATGCTTCTCTTTTAAACTTAACATTTAGTAAAATTAGTCAATTTTCTGTACAGTCAAATGTGGATGATCAAGAGCTTTTGACTGCAATGTCATTATTAGTTTTATTTTTTATTTTTTATTTTTTTTTGAACCATAAAAATAGGCAATGCCATTAGGTTAGTTAGTATTTAGTTGCTCAATTGTCTTACCATTTCTTTGTATGAGTCAGTTATTGAACTAAAGTACCATATTGTTTTATTTTAATCTCTCTCTTTTTCACACACACACACACACACACACACACACACAAAGTTTTTTGTTAATTGGTTTTTATAGCCTGGCTTATCCTTTGCTTCCTCTCTTTTCTACAGGCATGTTTGGATTCTGGGTTTTTCTATGTGATCAATCATGGAATCAGCCAGGAATTTATGGATGAGGTTTTTTACCAAAGCAAAAGTTTTTTTGATCTACCAGTAAGTGAGAAAATGAAGGTTCTTAGAAACAAGAAACATCGAGGTTACACTTCCCTTTTCAATGAACGTTTGGATCCTGTCAATCAAATACATGGTTTGTTCTGCTATCATTTTTCTAGTGTCACACTACTTTTGAGCAATAAGCACAAAAGTGAATATCAGATCAATATGATGTTTTTTATAATACAAGTTGACATCTATTGTATAGCTTGGTATGTGCATGACATGTATGTGTATATATATGTATATATTGTGCTTATATGATCATGCCTGTCAAGAAGTGGCTTGAGTGCTAGGAAAATTAGACTTCTGTCTAACATCCCCACATAGTAAGAGGCCTCACTTTTATATAGTTCAATATGATAAATATAAATTTACAATCACACTAACTGTTAAAAAAGTAGGGATAGTTGTCTTAAATTTGCATTTGGAATTTTTGTACAAGATGATATCAATGTTTAAATTTGTTTTGGGAATTGAAAGTTTTAAATTAAGTTTTGCAAGCTGAAGGGAGCACTTCAATTGATATATTGAATAATTAAAGAAAACTAAAATTTCTAATGCATCCATGATTATAAAATTTCCCCTTCCAAACACACATTAATGTGTACTTTTTTTCCTTTTTTTTGGAGTGTCAAACTGAGTACAAAAACTCAAATCACTTCAAATAAAAAATTCAGGTGACGTTGTCTTATGTTCTCCAATACCAAAGCAGATGTTCCATAAGCCAAAGCCATAAGAAAATCAACAAACACGAGGCAACTAAAATAATAAGCTAATGCAAATGTCCAATTACCTACCTGAGGAACCCAAGCTCTAATACCCCGATCCCACTTGTATGTGGTTCCGTCATCATCAGTGAATTCTTCCTCACCCTCTGGTGGCGTTGAAGGCCTATCAGTATCATCATTGCTAGCGGTAGGGTCATGCTTCAACACCTCCACCTCCGCCTCTGCTTCTGCCTCTGCCTCACTCACTTCCTTTTGCCATTCTTGTTTACATAATTATATTGTTGCCTTCCTACTTTGAGATGCCACCCACATTGTTTTATTTTTTATATTGTCCCATTCTTTTCTTCTTCTAGTTGATCCATATTTCTTGATTTATTGTTGTTTGAATTTAAACTAATTATAATAGAGAGATCCTTGTTTCATAAAAAAGAAAAATATTGATTATCCTATTTTACGGATATAGGATATTATAAGGAGGGATATTACATTCGAATAGAAGTACCTGAAAACGATCCTGACATAGAAAAGCTATTATACGGACCAAATGTCTGGCCCCCTTCTGGTAAGCTACAAAATCCATTCAAGTCTTAAGAAAGTGCGAAGTATGACTAGTTCATGCCATGTCCCAATCATCTCTCTCTCTCTCTCTCTCACACACACACACACACACACACACACACATCAGAGCTTAATTCAACTTGATGTGATTTAAGCATTTGAGTATTCTACATGGTATTGGTTTTGTAATCAGTATTAACCCCTTTGGTCTTTTGGCCGCTTGAAAGATATCTTGCCTGGATGGAGGGAAACTATGGAGAAATATCATAGAGAGGCGCTGTAAGTTTTGTTCAAGTTTAATCTTTTTGTAATGAACTTCATATACTACTGGCAGATGTATTTGTTGCTTTGTATCAAACATCATAACTCTCCATGCAGCAAATAGAATTATCTTGTCTTGTTTTGGTGTCTAAGCAGAAATGCTGCATCATATTATTTTCTCATTTTTATCTAATATCAATACCCTATTGTCAATTTAAAAGTATTGCATTAGACTAATAAATCTTAGAAAATATCACATTATGGGTAGGATAACTTCATATCAAATATTGGAAGTTCTATATATACTAAGGAAAGTCTTAGGGATGTGAGCTAAGAGCATAGACTGAAGAACTGCAGGAGAGAACTTATACCTTTATCCCATCTGGTCTTGACGGCACAGTCTGGTGGGTCCTGCAAAGCTTGGTTGACGAGTTTGTCTGTTGTAATTATACGAGCTCATCCCTTGCCATGAAAATTTTATGGTGATGGATGATAATAATATTCTAAGACCATGAAGATTCATATTTATATATATTTTCATTACGAAAACCTGGCATGTATTGCTTTTTAATCTATATTGTCCAGACTTTTTAACTTCAATTCTTACATGTTTTCCCAATCACTCTAAGATCTTTTATATTTTGATACATTTTTGGTGATGCAAATTAGCATAAAATATGCTACATAACTTGAGGAATAATAACAAAGAATTAGGTTGAGTGAATTGTTTTAGCCACTGAGGTATATTTCTAAACACCATTGTTAAATTGGGACTTGTATAAAACCAAACCATATGGTTGTTCTATTGGGAGTTTTTCTCCTTTCCCACTAGAAATTCATTTGTAAAAAAAAAGCAATTACCTATCATTCCATTTAAGCCTTGTGACTTGTTCAGCCATGATTTCATGCTTTCAGTTTTATATATATGACATTGTTTATATGCGTGCTAGTGAGGTGGCAAAAGCAATTTCAAGGATCATAGCTCTTGCACTTAACCTCGAGGTTGACTTTTTTGATAGACAAGAAATGCTTGGGAAGCCTATTGCAACCTTGCGTCTGCTACACTATGAAGGTGAAAATTAGATTGAAGATCATGGAATTTTAATGTAATTGATGTCACCTATATCATGACAAGTGTTTGGTTATTCTTCAGGTAGAGTTTTTGATTCGATGAAGTGGGAATTTGTAGCACCATTAAAAGGGTTAGTAAATAGAATCTACAGAGACTTGATTGGTTCCAAAGGCACTGCCTAGGATTGGTTTTCAGTTATCAAAAAATAAAAGGAAGAAAACTTTACATAATTCTAGACAATATTAGACACCTTTATTGGAGCTAGTGTAAGTTTTCTACATGCTTTTGTGATCATGCGCGGAGGTTAAATGAAAGGGACCATATATTACATTTAGATGCTACAATTTGACGTAGAATCAATCTTTTACTATGTTATTAGCATTTTCTTATTGTCTTGATGTTTGAAATCTAACTTTCAGAGCATTTGTAGTGAATCTTGGTGACATGCTAGAGCGCTGGAGCAACTGTATTTTCAGGTAATGTGCATTTGACAAAGTTCCTAAATGATGGTTTTGTAGCTTCATGACAATCAGTCGGATTATTATTATTATTATTATTATTATTATTATTTTTTTTTTTCAGTTGTTTATTGTGAGATAATATTGAGTACGATATGGGACATTGCCTTCTTTAGAGCAAAAATTCCAGAACAATAATTTCTCATTGCCACCACCATGAATGCCAATTTTTCTAGTATGTGGTCTGAGTGTTGGGATTATAATTTTATGGTACTTGGGTATCTGTTTTCACTTGCTTAATTTTATCCAGGTCCACGTTGCATCGAGTGCTGGGTAATGGTCATGAGAGATATTCTGTAAGGCCCCTTTAGAAGCTTTTGAATGTTCTCTAATTGCATAGCCTACAAGGGATGTTGATAATGAAAAGTTTGCCTTCTTATGCAATATTATCGTCTAACATACACAATGGCCCTTTTTGTTTTTTTGCTTTCATTTTATTCGATTTATTTATATTTATTTATTATTATTATTTTTTCATTGAGCAGATTGCATATTTTGTGGACCTAGTCACGATTGTCTTGTTGAATGCTTGCCCACCTGCCAATCGCAAGAGAACCCTCCCAAGTAAGTATCAATTGAACAGGGATAAACTGTTCATACCTGCATTGATCTAAGTATGAACACATATTAACCATCGATAACTGCAACTGATCTGAGTACGCATGATCACAAATTAATTATCACCCACACAATGACGTGAGGACCATTAACGTCATAATTACGTGCAACATATGTGGACAAGTGGGAACCTCTAATTGTACTCCAAAACAATGGTTGGATCCCCTTCCTTTGTACACCCCATTCTCGAATTTAAATTTTGTTGATTTTCTTTGAACACCCCAATTAATTCCCACCGTACCCGCACCCATCCAACCTATCGGCCAGCCACCCAGTGCACCAGTGCCACCTCCACCACCCCTTCCTTTCCCTCCCCTTCTCTCCCCACCGCCTGTTGCCCCCTCCCCGTGCTCTCCAATACCCCCCTCTCCTTTCTTCTTGATGCCCCCCACCTCTCTGCAACACCCTACAGCCCTCCCCTGATCTTTTTCTCAAACCCTAATCCAAACCACATCACCCACCATCGCCAAGGAAGAGATAGAGAAAATGGGTAAGAGGTGGGCAACAGAGGGGGGAGGAAAGAGGAGATGCAGAAGATGAGCCTTCAAGGTGGTACCGAGGGTGGGTAGGGGGCTGGGGGACACGGGAGGGTCTAGCCGGAGCTGGTTTAGGGTTGTCTTTTTTTTTTTGTAATTGGACATAGAGGTAAAATGATATTAAAAAGGGGAAAAATTCACTTTTACTCCTTGTGGGGGGGAGCCATGGGGGAGTTGCTTAAGTGGGGGGAGGAAAGAGGAGATGGAGTAGATGAGCCTTCAAGGTGGTACCGAGGGTGGGTAGGGGGCTGGGGGACACGGGAGGGTCTAGCCGGAGCTGGTTTAGGGTTGTCTTTTTTTTTTGTAATTGGACATAGAGGTAAAATGATATTAAAAAAGGGGAAAAATTCACTTTTACTCCTTGTGGTTTGAGTTTTGGGCACTTTACCTATCTGTGATTCAAATATAGATGGTTTAATTAATAAAATTTGTGATTAATTTAAGATTAAGTGTATAATATCAGAGATAAAGAGGATTAACGTTAACGGATGTTAGATTGCAATTTAGTCCAAACCATAATGGGGCAAATATGCCTATATTTAAATCACATGTGGGTAAAGTGATCCGGCCTCAAACGATAAGGGGATAAAGTGAAATTTGAAAAAAAATACCGAATTTGGGATGTCCAACAATATCTTTGGGATGCATTTAAAGGCTCCCTGGATAACTGAGCTGGTGTCTAATTAAAATTTAAAACCTTTTTGCATTAATAAAAATGCATAAAGGATATGCTCGACTTCTTTGTTTTCGTGAAGTTTCTCTATTTTTTACTGCTTCTTTTCCACCAGGTTTCCTCCTATCAAATGTGAAACTTACATGCTCCAGCGGTACAAGGATACTCATGCTGTTCCCGAGTCATACGAAAATTGATTCACCAAACTCTGTTGTCAATATCACTGGGATTTTCGCTTCAAGTGTAGAACACAGAGGTTAGCTCCTTCCTGCCACAATTTGTATGGAAACAAGTTCTCTTAGTTGAATATTGGAGAAATATCATGTAATCTTTTTTTGGTTGCAAATGTAATGTTGATATATATGTAAAACATGTAAGAGAATATGTGAAATATTTATTAAAATTTTAACTTTTTTTTATTTATTTTATTTTTACGTTATTTGATCAATTGCAGGATTTTTATTTTGTATGCTACATTTACATTAGAAAGAGTTCACAAAGCAAATAATTAGGTTATGTTGTGCATTGTGGAGAAAATAAGTTTTCACTATGGACCTATATTTGGTTAATATATATGTTCCATTAATTTGACATTCGATTAATGGTTGTAATTGCCACAAGTTGCACTACAGTTTGGTAATGTTTTTGTTTTTAATTTTTATTTTTATTTTCTGGAAAATGCAAAATAAATATTTTTGCAAATTATTTATTACTGGAAATGATTTTTGTGAAAATTTTCTGAGAACAATTCACTTTGAAAAAAAATTAAAGTGACTATGTATCCCATCATGTGTTTTATAGGTTATCCGTGTAATTTTCATTCAGATATGACTTATCTCCATGTGAATTGGACCGCATCGTTGTCTCATTTGGGCTCACCATATTCTTATTTTGTTTTGAATCTGTCCAACTGTTATTTCTCCTATTCCAATGGCTATATTTGCTCTCCAATGGCCAAATGAAGATGAGGGATTATAAATAGAAAATCTACATTCATCTACAAGTGAGAGAGAGGATAATCTCCAAAGAGGAGAAAATACAATAATTTTATACTGTAACTTTCATTTCATCTCTATGAGCTTTAATTGTTTAAATCCAACTCTTTAGGAGTTTATCGTACAAAATGCTTTACGCATTTTTTTTTTATCTACAAATCATCTATAAATGGCTGTTATACCCATGATCTTCATTGTGAGTGTTTGAGAGAGAAACACTTGAGAGATTTGATAACACCAAAAAGTGGGCTGTTTTGGTGAGTTTGTTTTTTGGGATTTTTGGAACAAAATTATTGTTGTAAAAGTCTTGCAAGTATCCGGTAAACTTGCTGGTGTAAATCTACTAGATGAATAGTGAAAATACTCGAAGGAGAGTATTGAGGAGTGGATGTAAACTTGGATGGAAACCGAATCACTATAAATCTTGTGTTTGCCTTCTCTCTCTATCTCTCCTTTATATTTATAATTGCTGTTTTGTTGTGCTTTGACTTGATATGCTCACACACATTATTGCTCATATTTTATATATTCATTCTTTTATTTTACTTGAGCAAGTTAATTTTATTGAATTATTTTATTTTAAGTTATATTTATCAACTTAATTTCCCCCCTCTTGTGTTGTCAACGTGGTGCAACACTATGAAAAAAAGTTCAACCTTGCTCTGTTTGTTACATATATAAGCAAGTTCAAATTAAATTTTTAGGCTTGTTTAATAAACCCAATAAGAGCTCAACTCTGCTTGTTACATATATAAGCGAGGTCAAATTAAATTTTTAGGCTTGTTTAACAAATTCAGTAAGAATTCAACTCTACTCAGTTTATTACATATATAAACAATGTCAAACCAATCTTTTGAGCTCGTTTAATAAATGAATCACTCAAGGTTCAAGTCAATTTTTTTCTTCATTATTGAGTTTCAAACCAAACTCGAGCATAACTTCATTATTAAGTTTCAAACCAAAATCGTTCATTATTGAGTTTCAAACCAAACTTTAGCATTTTTCTTCATTATTAAGTTTCAAACCAAACTCGAATATAATTAATATTAAGGAACTGAGCTGGGCTCAAGCATTAATTAGTATAAATATTCAAGCTCAACTCAAACTTTTCTTTTTTGAGCTAGATAAACAAACCAGTTCAGCTCGGCTCATTTGCCACACTGGCCACTAAGAACTCACAACTACGAACTGAGCTGAGCTCAAGCATTAATTACTATAAATATTCAAGCTCAACTCAAACTTTTCTTTTTTGAGCTTGATAGACAAACAAGCTCTGCTCAGCTCATTTGCCACAGTGGCCACTAAGAACTAACAAAGACAAATAGGTCAATGGGGGAAGATACAATTTAACTTTGGGCCAAAGAACAAGGGGATTGATTTATTAAAAAACACTATATTCTATTACAATTACACGTAGAATGCAGTTAGGCTGAAAATCTTTTGTCCAACTCTGTCGCTGTCTCATATCCTTCTGTTTTGAACTCTCTCTATCATACGATTTAAGTGAAGCTTAGCATCAAAAGTTAGTAATACATCTTGAGAACGACAAGCTTGGCATTCCAAATCCTCAATTGAGGCAAGTGGTTGATTCTACAAGTACCACCGCATCGGATGCTTCACAGGTCAGTCTAAATTTCTCCATATTTCCACAGCTTTTGTGACTTCACAGAGACTACTAAACTGGTAGTGAGTAGCAAGTAGAGATTGAAGTTGACAATGTTTAAACTAAAACCAACCTTTCATCCAACCCGACTCTTACTGTCATGGTTCTAATATAAACTCTAAAGCTTACAACACCACAAAAATTCCGAAACACCATGATTGGAATGTAGACGGAAAAGGAGAGACACCAAACAAGAATATATAAGACTCCGAAGAAACACACTACATTAACTACTAGCCATAGTTTCTGCTCACAATTCAACAATTCATCGGAAGCTTCTGTAATTGGGAGTATACATGCAGCTTTCAGCATACTTCACCAGAATATCAGACCGAGGGAGACGCGTTGCCAACCCTAGGAAACATTGTGAAAGTCATAAAAATAAACATGCTTCAAGGGGCAATTACAGCAGAGGTAAGACACATGAAGCAACCAAAGGTACACTTACTAACTCACCAAGTTCATATGCTTTAGCAGCCACATTAGCAGCAATGTGGCCAGAGATCTTTCTAATATTAGAGAATGGTGGATAGATCGAACCCTTGTCCAAATTCTCTTTTGTTACTTGCTCAGCCAAAGCCTCTGTTGTTACAAAGGAAAGTAGATGATTTAGATACAAAGGTTAACCATTCTATCTATTTGTCGTGCCTGTCGCCTAGAATTGCAATTTAATAGGTTTCACCAAAAGTTTTCCGTAGTGCTTCACACATGATTATGGGCAACCCAATGTAAAAAACTTCTGTTAAAAGGATATCTAGAGAGGGCAAGATGTACAGAGACTGTTTCAATGACTTGAACCTGCGCCACCAGGGACACTAATGGCAAATCGCCCTTACAGAACCAGATCACACATCAAGGGAATAAAACAAACACAAGGTGTTTTTTGAGTTTACATTCTATTGGAATCTAAGTAAACATCTCAGAACTTTTTCTAAAGCGAGTCTATTCATTATTTATGACTTGCATAGCTATGTGACCAGGGGAAAAGGAAAAAAATAATAAAGCATAAGTAAAATGAAATAAATTAA